TTGCTTGCATGCTCACTGAAAAGTGTGCTTCAAGCAACTTACACATTGCCTGTAAGGATCGGTTCACCTTTTGATTAAGTTTGTCCGAAGTAAACGATGCAGGCTAACGTTTTCCCCCACATCGCGATTGAACGGCACTTGTCCTGTACGTTGATTACTTGTTGACCGTCCTTTTGCAGAATGTTCAACACGATGGTTCCTTATCATTTCAAGTGAATGAACTGAAGAAAGTTTGCTCTGCAGTTTTGAATGGATCTGACCAGATAACACAATTCATTGAATGTAAATTATAAGTTTGTTCACATCGCCGGCTGTGTGCTTTTCCTGAATGATGTAATCAGGGAAACACAGTAGAAGGAAATTCTACTCGAGGTGTCCCTGAGTATCGTACGGCACACACTTAAAAAAAAAAGCACGTGTGACCTTCAGTTCACGGATTATGCTATCAACAAAAGAAGCGTTATGTGTCGTCCCATCATTATATTAGGATCATTCATCTATCGAGCGTCGATGAAAGTGATAATCTGTGACAATATACTACATAAACTGAATATCACTTTTTCGTTGTTAAATATTAAGTTATCTAATTCGCATATAAGAATAGACTTAGTCTTATTCTGAAAATTAAGTGCCTTTCATCGTCTCAAATTAGAGGTCGATAACACTGCGCCTGAAAATGTCCAGAAAGGAGAATTTCGTGTTATGTATTAAACTTGAACTGGTCATTATTTGAATTGATTGAAAGGTGATCATCTATCGCTTGGTTCGCACATAGTCCTTGCTGAGTGCTAACATAAATATGAATATTTTGAGGTTCTTAGAGCTCTAGACCGCGACAGCTGCGCCAGATCAATGTTTCCTATAGCCATTGGTTACTTCCCACTTTGATGACGTGGAGTCCCTCAATATACACCCGTGTGTCATTAGAGGTTAGCATTTCGATTTATCTCACGCATTGATGACTTGAATCAAACAGTGATTTATACGTCATTCTAGGCTAGTAAAGCCTATTAGACGGATACGTGTAGGCAGATAATTATTACGAAATTGGAACTAAATGGTGGGCACACTACAAGTGGACTACTGATTAGGTGAACAACTTTCGGGGACACAAATGGGAATGGCACGTAATACACACATTGATAACATTCATACATTGATAACTGATCCCCAAATCTATGGTAATTTGGTGACGTAAAAGTGTTTGTCATGAGGTAGTACACAATTTTAATAGGTAAAAAAAGCATTTTACTTCTTCTCAGCTTTAAAGATGGTACGAGTTTTGAGGTCCGATACTTATTCGGGTCGATCGATTCACACGGTTGATGAGAACCATGTAGCTCAAAACATGCACCCATTGCTTTTAAGTCGTATACGACGAAATTCACTCATTACTTTTTGGTTCAATCATTCCTACTTTTACGTTTTGGGATCCTCAAACTTAGGCTGCATGCAGCCCTTAAATCGACTATTGAACTCTTTTTCTGTTTTTAACGCTTATTCTTAGTTCCCTTATGAATTGAAAGGTATAGCTGGAAAGAACTGTGGTTACCTAACTTTGAAAAAACATTATCGCAGTGTGAAATACTTAGGGAAGTCACCTTATAGTGGGATACCACTCCAATGTGATCTTTATTGGCTCACGCCTCCCCCCGTCGAGCTTGGTTCGTTTCAGAACCTGGTCAAACTCCCTTCCCCCTTCAACCCGTAAACTGTTTATCGATCACGTGTAATCCTATCTGACCTATACCGGAACAATGAGCGTATTAAGACTCCCATGGGATGGTTTACCCTCGTTGTTTTGTCATTATTATTATTATTAGTTAATCTGCAATAAATCAGGCAGCAAGTAACAAATGCGAACTGGGATCTCCGGTCAAGGCACACTTTATGTGAAGCGAAATGATGAAATGTCAGCATTTTATACGGTGAACAGATATTGATCGATCCATCTGCCTCACTGTTATTTGTGTGCAACAGGGGACGATGATTCAAGCTAACCTATTCGCAGATTCCTAGATGTCGTGAATAACGGAGGACGAAGGATAGAAACCAGTGAAACGTGTTTTCCTTCTCTTGTATGCATTTAGAATGTACTCAGCGTATTTTAATTTTTTGGTGGGGCTTATCTGGAAAACATCCCTAATTTCGTTTTGGACTGGTTTTGGACCGGATTTTCAATGGTCACATAATTGCTAGGTCACCTGACCACTCCGGATATGGGGCGTGTGGGGGTGGGCCAGGGGAGCTTAAGCGCCTGCACAAATTGTTTTGGGCACAGAAGAGGACTGTGCAGACGAAATCCTACCGCGTCCGCTGTGGCAAGCACGCGATATCAAAACTACCTTGATGGTCGACCAAAAACCCGATATGGAGGAAGGAATGCCTCGGTCACATTCACAATGTGATTTGTTTCAACTAGGCGTGAAGCCACTGAGTTAGTGAGTGACTTAATCGTTCTTGTACTTAGCCAAACGGGGTGGTGGTCACGGATGCGTTCGAAGAAACGCTTGACCGTGTAGCTTATGTACGTCATTCCATCGGAACACGTAACTGAGCACACAAAATGAAGCGGCAGAATGCGGCATTTTGTCCTTTAGTTTGGGAAACACAATTGGCTGAGACGCGAACAAATCAGTGAGCTTTGCTGCATAAAACGTTTTACTAATAGCGTCGGATAGTCTTCTTTGTATTATCTCTGCCGATGTATCCCTCTTGAATGACAAAACAATAATACAAACTTCATTCTCACCTCGGTCTTCCTCACAATATCTCTACTGCATTGAATCATCTTGCTAAACAGTCTTTTCGGATAGCCATTGTGAGTGAAGATGGTAAATAAGAACCGGAACGATTCTGATATTGTTCTCTCACTACAAATCCACCTAATTGGGTAACGCACGAAACTCCGCGCCCCATGTCTCGAATAGTCAGGTGACCTAACAACTATGTGATCATTGAAAATCCAGTCCAAATCCGATCCAAAAACGAGATAAACCGCAAGTAATCTATAATGTTAATTCTCCCTTTCCCAAAACAATTGTTTGGTTTTTTATAGTTCAATGCTGATACATATATAAACATCGTGATATGTATTGTGGTGCATTGACATGATTACCAATAACTAAAAACGAGCTTTTCAACAACTCTTTGTTTTATTTGAAATTTCCTCTGTTTGGTTGTTTAGATAATTGTCAAATGGGTTTAACCACAGACCAAACAGACTCTTCTTGGATGAATAGTTGGAAAGTTGTCATTTATCAATGTGAAAACATGCATATTACTGAAAAGAAAACGTCAAGGTTTTACCAACGAATGACTGGCTCTGGTCTACGTAACCCTGACGAAGACTTCCTTTATTCATGATATGGGCTTATTTTCTATTATTGGTACCATTCAGATCCACCCTAAGTTGTGGAGAATAGACTATATATTAAATGTCCTCTTTTCCTGCAAATTCGAAAAAATCATTCCTTAGCGGAAAGTCACTGGACTAATGCCCGACTGTTTTTCGGGTTTCTTATTCGTCCGACATAATAAATCTGGACCCCGAATCACATCTTCTCAATGATCACTGCAATGAACTGGAGATCACTAAAGATCTGAGTGTTTTGGAGAAATTCACCATGCCAGTCAACTCAGGATCCAGTCAATTTGTACAACCGGAACCCTCTCTGTTCGTTCCCCGTCCAGCATTGCGATGTATAAATACACTATTTAGACCACAAGCTGATCATTGCTCTTCGACCCCTGCATATTCAATCCTCAAAAAACCAATTAACCTGAATACACTTAATACGCATCAATTATCACGTTGAAATCTGTTCACCCACACAGTTGTTAATATTAGTGCCTCACTGCCACCCTCTATTCGTCCCCTTCCACCTAATTGAGGAAACACTTGATCTTCACGGTATGGTGCATGTTTGGTGACAAGTTGATACGAGTCAATCCGTTTCGTATCGCCATTTGACCTATGCGTCACTCTATCAGTGGATGCAGAATATATACAGATTATATATCCAGAATATTTTAAATATTTACCGGAGATATTTCAGGGTAAACAATTTCAGGTAAAAACAATCTTTGAATTTCTATTATACGCATCGTAGCTCAAATGGTAGAGCGTGCCCTGCACAAAAGACGCAGGTGGCGTCCATGCGTAGGTTTCAATCCCACCGAGGCTACTGAACTTTTCACAATCCCAAATTATCGTGGACAATTCTAAAGGGATAGCTGGCACCATCACTTTCTTCAGGAGAAAACAGTCTTTGAAGTGCTGTGATAAATATCGATTTACAGCTAGTCTATGTTTGTCCGATATTTTGTTTGGACTTCTAGTCATTCACATTCGGTTGTTTTATTCAGAGTAAGTGGTTTCTGTAGTTTGCTCCACTTATTCGTGACCAAATTGGAAAAGTACTCGTAGCCCCATTGATCGAATTCTGTTGACCTTCACTATATTTATACGATACGGATCAACCATGACTTGGAGCAACCAAACAATACTTACCACACTGCCTCGTTGAGTTTTATCCACTCCTTTTCCAGGCGATACACCGTTATCACCACCGCTAAAACGATCATAAAGCAGAGCACACGGTTACCAAGCGGCATGAAACGTAAAATATATCTTAAATGAACTCATTCTGATGATCAAAAAATGTTTTCTTAACTAAATACGGTAACTTCGCCGCGTTTGGGTGACCATAATGACATTTGTTCAGTGATGTATGTGAAGTGCTTTTAACTATGTGTATTCGTTTAAAGGCGCCTAATTCCTGAATTTTATAAGGGGTTATTTAGCTGTACCATACCACGCACAGACAGGTGGATTTTACGTCTGAAGTGAAATTGAGAATGGTGATTCCGAATGTGGAAATAGACGCACATGAAATAGTCAAAGTATTCTAGGTAAAAGTTAGTAACGTCGCTGATTTGTTACATGCTGCTTTTAGGCTTTGAGTAATTATGATGATTGGACCGCAACAACAGAGGGATGTTCTTGCTGAGCGGGCATGCCTAGTTTAGTTGTTTGTGGTTAGTGGATTTGGGAGATAGGAGAAACTTATGATAGTCTCTGAAGAAGATAATCGAAATCTCCCATGGGGAAATCGGAAAAGGTTTCAGATGAGGAATAAAGAAAAATAGAGATAGGATGCTGTTCTGTGGTCTGAGTTCTCGTTATTGAGAGGTGATTCTTACAGGTTCCTTATACATTTATTATTATTAAAGGTCCACCTTAAATTTGCTTCAATGTACACTCCTATAGGAGGGCCGAACAAAACGTTTGCGGACGCACAACAAGTTTTATTCGCTACACCAATATAAGCATTACATGTTCTCCATATGTTCTCCGCCAGGGTTCATGCACAGTTCCAGACGCTTAAACCATTTGGTGAAACAGCTCGACCATGCCAAAGCGGGGAACCAGTCCGTCGGCCAGTTCAATAAAGACCTTCACTGCAACTGGTAGTGAATCGCATTAGATTCCATGCATTATGCGCTTGACATAAAAGGTCACACGGAGCCAGGTCCGGACTGTAGGGTGGGTGAACAACCTGCTAAATGCGTTTTCTAGCCTGACAATCATTGTTGACATAGGAGCTCTGCGCAGGTGCTTTATCCTGGTGCAGTAAGGTCTCTCGTTACGAGTCCTTGGACACAACCTGGCAACAGCTTCCGACACTTCCAGTTGGCGTACCACAGATTCCGGTGACTGTGCTTTGCTGTACGAGCGGTACAATAACCACATGACCTGTTTTGGCCATAAACACAGCCACCATCTGCTTGGTCATACTGAGCTCGCGTCGGAATTTCTGGGGCGGCTAGCCACCGACCGGCTTCCAATGAGCCAACTGTTGCTTAGTCTCTGGGTCGAAACTGTCCATTCAGGTCTCATCAACAATGATGATCTACCAAAGTGTATTGGATCGTCCACTATCAAATCTTGTATACATCGTGCGGCATCAATTCACTCGAACTACTTTCTGTTCCTCACCGAGTTGACTGGGTACCCAGCATGCGCTAACCTTTCTTGGACCGAGCTCGTAATGTAGGGTTGGTGCGGAATGATCTCTATGAGATCCCGGTGACCTTCACCAGCAGTGCCACCGTCACCCGCGCCTCTTCCTCCACCATCGCTTACAGATCAGAAATGTTGTCTCCTGTGGTAGTATCCGCAGATCGACCACACTGTGCCTCATCATCCAGTGACCGTCTGCTAAGCTCAAATTAAACAAACCAACCAAACATAATAATTCTCGAAGGTGTGTCAATACCAAAGGCAGCTTGTAAAGAATCAACACTCTGCTGCTATGGCTTTAAACCACCTTTGTATTCGGGACAACTGTCGCCCTCCAGTGTGACATCGATCGGGTTGCATCCTTACGACAGTCCGAGTATAGAGACCTTCGTATGACTTGTGAGCTGTGCTCGGTTATGTTGATATTTAGTTCTGTGTGAGATGCAATCACTGAACAATATTCACAATAAATTACGGTTTGCGTCTTCCGTGATCAGTCATCTTCACCTCAAACTCACGTACTGCCTATACGGAAACTTTTTACCCAGCCCTCGCATGGTGAGCTAAACATTTTGATTAGTTATAGACGGTTACCAGGGATTTGTGAACTGGCAAATAGTATATGGTATGCAAATGACGTATTTTTATAAGTTTATTGTCGTCAAGAGTCGAACCATTACGAATATGGACTGGTTCCTCAAGAAAGTTTGAAAGTTTTCATGCATAACTTGCAAAATGTGAAACATTGTCGGAAGTTTCAAATATATACATATATTTGAAAAGAAAAGACCATATTGCAATACTGCACGATTTATGTCCAGGACGATTTCGCTGCATCTCAACATGGTGCATACTGCAGAAAATACAATGTTTATATAGGGTTTTAGCATAGCAACAGAGTGAGGCAAAATACATTAAAAACAGACAAAACATAAAAGAGGGAGGGGTAAAAGGACCATATCACCAGGGTAGGGAGAGACTAACATACAGTTCTTTTTGCTGGTGATATGGTCCTTTTACCCCTCCCTCTTTTATGTTTTGTCTGTTTTTAATGTATTTTGCCTCACTCTGTTGCTATGCTAAAACCCTATATAAACATTGTATTTTCTGCAGTATGCACCATGTTGAGATGCAGCGAAATCGTCCTGGACATAAATCGTGCAGTATTGCAATATGGTCTTTTCTTTTCAAGTTAATCTCGGGAAAGGCTTGTTTCAATATACATATATATACAGGTATTGAAAAAACTCGTGCAACATCCTGATTTCCGTCACATTTGTTCCTCTCAATGCTTCGCTTTTCCAGCCTCATTCACGGGATTGAATATAATATTGCCCTACATCAGACGCAATATATCTGATATAATATCCACTTATGTCTTCGCTTCTGTTAGCCACATGCCATTAAACTGTGCAATTTCTCGATTTCAACGATTTTTGTTAATGCATCAATTGTAAGATAACAAGGTCACAGTAGAAAACGTAACTGTAATATATATATATATATATATTGTATATATATAGATTGGTCGGGGAACTCAACGATAGCCTAATGGTATAGCTGATAAACCGGACGTCTGAGAGAACCGCTTCAAGAAGCTCTTATGAATTATTCACGAATGGTTTGGGTGTTTTTTTAACCCGATCAAAAGCATTGATTTTTTTCGTGAAGTAGTCAACTAGCCATGCCGAAAGTTATTTGGAGCAGAGTAAACGGGAGACTAAATATTTAATAAAACACATTTTATTAATATCCTACTTCCACGAATAACTGATCAAATAATAGCCGATTTGTTTACCCTTGTAAAAACTGGAGAGAGCTTTGAAAATACTGCTGGTATAAGGAGCTGCAGGTTAATGAGTAGTACTTTCTGACTTCTAAGAGGTTTCGATGTTGGAGCAAGAAAAAGAATATTCCTTGGTAGATCCCCATAGATTTAAACACGCAGGAATGATAGTAATTGTGAGAGATCAGAGATAATCAGAAATGGACTTGGTGCATCATGAGTTATTGAAAGCATAGGTAATGATAAATAACACAATAGAGGTAAATGTGCATCGTTTGATTACTTAAAATCCAAGGAAGAGAAGCAAAGAAAGACACTCGGTTAAATAAGATTTGCTTGTACCTGTTATGCTCTTCTTCGGCGTCCGAACCCACAGTGGATTTGTGCACATTCTTTTTCACAGCTCCGAAAAATCTAGCCAAAATGCTCGCGGATTTCTGGTAAACACAGACAAAGAATGGGAAAAGAAAATAATACGCTCCAAGTGCTGAGTCAAACGTCGTTGATCGAGTCAATTTATAAATTTCAACTGGACGTTTTGTTTTGTTGCATTAAACGCTCTTCGTGTGTTCACCCACACACCCATATATATATATATATATACCGGAAAATGGGCTGACAAAGTTCATTTGAAATTTGCAAAACGATTGGCTAAATACGACTTAGTTTTCCATGTACAACCAGATCACATTTCGTTAAATACGTATGAATAAACTGTTTGTTGAAAAAGCACATCAGTGAACAAACTTTATGGGAATATTAGTGGCATAACAGCAGAAAGCACCAGTTATCGGATTCAATCTATAGGAACACGTTAGTTTATTTGTTGTATTCGATTCCGTTTGTAGTGAAACAGAGAAACCTAACAGTGAAACGGTGTGAAGACCACAGTATCACCGAACGCATTTTATTATATTTTGGTAAATGTGATATCAATCGATTTTCGCCAACCGGATTCTTCAGCTCACATACACTGAATCCGGATATGAGATGGTAAAACGCTATTGCTGAGTAATGCTAGGACATGGGTCTTCGGTTTCTCACTCTGCAGCTCACATATATACGTAAGACCCAAGCGGTAATAAACACTTCAATAAGCACGTGATGAACTACAGTGTTTTGGATTTTAAATGTTCGTCGTTTTATTTCTGTGCAAAATCTCTTTCCGGGGTTCAAACGTTCATGGCCTTCGTTAAATGATTGTTTATCAACGAGAATAGATGGTGATGGTGAGATTCCACTACATTTCCTCTGGGTGATGTGGCGGCCACCTTCAGTTTTTGACTACTGCAGCAATCGAGAAAGATGAGCATATTGTGAGTGCTGCTCTTCGTGTAACCTGAGTAACATCTATAAAAATATTGTGCAAAATGAAAACCAATAAATAATTTACTTCTTTAGTGCATTCACGTGTAACACTTTCAACCACCTATGCCCATTCGGTACTGTAGATGCAAATAACTGATTTGGATTGTCCGTTGTCTCGTTGTAGACAGTTTTCATTTCATTTATTCTTTATCATATTATTTTTCATTTGACCAATAACACCCTCCCAGACAGTCACCAATCTTTTCTACCGTTATTATGAAGTGGTCTAATTTAACTGGACAATTTAGACCGGTTGTGCGCTTCAGAGCTGACCATCATCTAATTTTTCATTTACCAAACAAATTTGATTAGTGGCTGTCGTCTCTTCAGGTGTTACTTTAAACAAAATAAAAGGAAATTATTTAAAACAATTTCTTGCAGTAGTTCGGATAAACCATCGTTTTTGAGAAATAAATGAAGGCAAAAATATCTAGCTAGATGAAACAGTTGAAGCGTTTCCTGGACATTCTAATACGTTCAGACCTGGTTGCTTGGGCGTTACATCGTTCTAGTAAAAAGTGCAAAACGTTTACCCGTCCAACGAAATCGGAACCGGATTTGTGTCTCTGTCGGCTTTGTGATCCGTTCGACTGATCAGGTTATCTCACAGCGCTGTCATTGTGACCCTCCTTTGAGTATACTAAACAAGTTCCGAGTCACATTTGTCAACACCAACAAAACAAGGACACGGCAAGGGAAAATACCTATCAGAACTGACTTCTGAAAGCTGACTTCCTAAAAGCATCTAACTTCTACACTCCCCAGGCATTGCCGCTTGCGAGTACTTTATCATAGCCGAACGTCAGCAAAATTATTGATTTGTCAGTCGAAATGACACGTGATGAACTCATGAAAGAGACCGAAAAAAGGATAGACATTTTGCTGAGAGGAGATATTAATCTCCCGAATTATACTGATGTGCAAATGCTACTAGACCAAATAAGAATCAAAAATAGTTGAAAGAAGCTTTAGACGCTCAACCCATTTAGTTTACTCTACTCTACAAAAAGAGAGTTTCATCTTATAACTAAGGGAACAGAGAGATGAGGATAAATATAAAAATAAAGATGAGTTTTTACCCCCTTTTCTGCTTTACGTATAACTGTGGACATATGTTAAACCGGAGATGATACGTTCATAAAGAGTAGTAAAAAATATGAATTAAACTAATTCTATAGCTATCGGATCGTAGTGAAGTTAAAAAAACTACCCGTTATTCCTCGGTAGGAGCTAATCCATTCGAGGGTTGTAAGATTACGCAGAAGTTTTGTACACAATCCGTACTGCAAACTCACGGCCTAACCAACCTGATATTAACTAGCCTCAACCACAAAGAGCTACCCAATCATCAGGCTTGCTAAATTCTTAACGATCTTCTCCGATGATATAACTCCAATGATTCACTTGATTATCAGTTCATGGTTATTGATTTTTCAGTCTTTGTTTCGTATGCTTTGACCTTGACCAGTACTAGGCCACTTTGTTCAAGTTTACACCGTTTCTGGAGTATGCACCAGCATGAATACACAAATAATATCTGCGGTCCAATAGTTTTCGTCGATGAGCTTAGTCATGGTTATTTCCCGTGGAAGACATTTCGATTACAAATAGCAACCTGGTTGTTTGAACATAAAGCTGTAAATCTACATGTTTGAACCCAGGCTTTCCTTTATCACAGTGGCTTCAGGTCTTCTGTGTTATTGACTTTGAAGTCGTGTAGTAACTCCATTTTGGTTAAAATAATCCCTTACATCATGTCTTGGTTGAAAATTCCTATTGAGCATTAGTACGTCTTTTTATTTATTGAATATGCAAGTGTACATTCAATATTAAGGAGGACAGCCCGCCGTCACACAAAGGCTGCCGCGGGAAATACAGAAATAGGGAAAACTGGCGATGGTGGAGCGATTGGAACCCGGGACTCACAGGTCATATGTTTTCAAGACAAACTTGATAACATATTTTTTCTGTTTGTGGTGTACATTATAGAAAACTATTATTTTTTGAAAATAAGTTGACTGCAGCGGAAAATATCCATGAAAGCACTTTATAATGGCTAAACACATTATTAACTAGAACATACTAGAAGGAACTTTCAGTGTGGTTAGAGTGTGAATTAAACCCCTAAATAATTTTCTTTGACATCGGCCAGTTCAATTCCCTTTTCGCCTGATTCAAGTCAAACTGTAAAAACATTATAAATTTGTTTTAAGATTATTGCTCGTCTTAACTAAGCTTTGTTATACAGTCTGATTTGATAAAATCATTCGTTAGTGGGGAAAGGGAGACTTCCTGGCCACATATTTATCAGGAATACGGCTGAAGTTGCTTCAGAAGATAGTTCCAATGTGGAACATCAAATAAGCCGCTTGGTTTTCCGAAAAGAAGAAAGAAAAATGATTACTATCAATCCAAAGGAGGTTCATGTTGTTACATCCCCTCCAACGTCCCCGGATCGGAAATCAAACGAGAATAGCAATGCGACGGCAAACAGTCACAGATGGAGTGCATTTCTGCCATGATGCTCCTTTCAACACTTCTTCCCCGTCGACGCACGCACATTGGAGTGCGCGCAAATAGCTGCCTCCTTTCAAGATTCATACACCAAGGTAAGATGCGCTTGATAAAAAAAGTAATAATCGTTCAAAAACCGGTTAAATTTGTGATTATTACCAGGGAAAATAAGGTGGATAATCCGAGAATCGTAATGATGTGAGTACAGAGAGTTAGGAAAACGAGAACACAAAACGTTTAGTCAAACCTATACAGACCTATACAGTTTATTCTTACAAACATAAATAGGATTTTAATCGTTAACAAACAAAACGCCATTTATTTATTAAAGTCCAGCAAAACTGTGGTGGCACCATATCAAATACATCAGTTCGACAATGCAAAAGTTTATCCTGCTCGCAGAGGTGGAACGATCCATCACAGTATCTATTAGAGCCTTGTTAAGGAATTACTACAGGAATAAACGATCTCTGATGCTGGACAGTAGTTTTGAATGGTGTCATCGATCGAGACTTGCATCAGTCATCAGCAGGCCACAATGGTCATCGAGCTTGGTTAATACACACACAGAACCAGCTTGATCCGAAATGAACTTACCGCTGTACCGCCTTTTCCTTGGAAGGCACGTGTGGTACGCCAATTTTCAATGATGAGGAAACTTGCGTAGATCTTTCCAACTGTCATTTTGTGATAGATCAATTCTGAGAGCGGAGGAAAGTATGAAATAAGGGAGAAAAAAGTATAAATTTCGGTTCACGATAGCGCTTATTGTCAGTTGCTTTGTTCTTTGCAATTTTATTAACATATAAGATGACCGCGAATCGTTAAGTAGGTTACTCATAAAGTTTTTAAAATGTTGGACGAGACAAACGATAAGGTACTCAGGTTTCACACATCCTAGTTTAATTTGTTTATGGTTCATAGGATCTCCTAGTTGAACGTTTTTCCTGACAAGATGATTCATTTGTTACATTAATTAGCCCATTGGGACACATTATTAAATGCGTTGTTTAAAGAGGAAAATGGAGCATGAGTTTGTCAGACCGTGATTTTCCCCCAGAAGTTCGTTCGACTTCAGTGATTACGTAGTTCAGACCGAAAACTAATATCTCTTTCCTGGGATAAATTTGTTCCAATAAGGACAGAGTTATTTTTGAAAAAGTCGATCGAACTGGATTCATTGTTGAAAATATGCCAAAATACGTGGTAGAAGACTGGGGAGGGGTTGGTTGTAACTTCTTAAAAACATATCAGTATTACGTAATCAAGAAGAAAACAGACTAAAGACAGCGATTAACTGAAAGTAATTCTATGCATATGGAACTATGAAGTTAATACTATCGAAAGTCATTTTACCTGATGCTTTGGCATCACTTTTGGTCAATATGAGTTAGCTTGCAAGTTTCAAGTGTTTGTACTAATTGCTACTCTTCAAGCTTAACACAGATGCTGTGAGGAGGGTAGATTGTTTGGTATTTTGAGGCCAGAATGGAAGACATCATCAGCCAGGACTACCCATTTCCAATGCACTACACCTGTTCATTGAAATGCACAGCGTTATTTGAGTACACTGTGAATGACATGACCATCTATTAGGCCCAACAACTAGCTCCTATATTTGGTTAGTCAATATGGAGCTTGTGAATACGTTTG